GTAGGTCAGCTACAACGTTCACTTCGCGTGGAATCAATTGTGCCTCAATCTGAATATGGTTGGAAATGCATAGGTTGAAAATAGCAAGCGCAATCTGCTGAAGCTCACCATTAGGACTACCAATTTGAACAATTCTAGCTGCTCCTTGGTTGTCTGTGAAAAACTTTACTTTTCTGTTACGTAAATGACTGACATAGGACATGCATACGTAATAAATAGCTTTGAGCTCCCGATACGTAGAGCTTCTCCCAAAATCCTCATCGACCTCATCGGTCCACATAGAACTTACTGGMMAGCCATCTATCGTTGCGGAGTAGCCACCAAAGCCGGTCTCACTGGCATCAGTACAAATAACAGTGCATGAAGTAATCGGAGAGCTTATTGGGAAGCCATTGAAAGACTCGAGGTTTGTGTACCAAAAGCGAAGCTCCTCGAGAAGACCCGGGGAAAAACGAACGATCGAGCCCCATGAACGACTAGTCACTATGGCATAGTACATCTGACGAGTGAGCAAGCGAGCGACAGGACCCACGGCTAAGGCGCTTGAAATGACTGTACCAGCTATTTTGGCTAGAAAACGACAACTGCAGAAACCATCAGAAAGGGCGCTTTGTAAAATGGACTTAAGCTTACTAACTTTCTTTTCTGGCAAGGAAAATGTCATGGATATGGTATTGATAACAAACCTTAACCATACCCCAACCTGGGCCGGTTCCCAATTCGACTTCTCGTCATTGCTAACCAAACCCGAGGCGCGGAGTTCTTTACGCTGTAACGCGTTAGTCGCCTGAGCAGAAAGCTTATCAGGTAAGGCACATAAACCGTCATCAATGTAGATAAAACTTAAGTGCCCCAGGGATCTCCACCTCTTAACAAACGGGCGCAAAAGCTTAGTAAAGCAAAAACAAGCTGTGCTTAACCCGAAAGGGAGAACAGTAAACGTAAAATACTTACGCACACCGTCTTCAAACAGCCAAGAAAAACCCAGGAATTGCTGGTGTTCAGGGGCAATATCTACGTGGTGATACCCTGACTTCAAATCCCATGTAAAAAACCAGTAACCCTCCTCAAGAACTTGGGATAAAGAGCGCAAATCTTCATACTTAAACTTWGGTTTAACTAAGTACTCATTTACATGCCTAAGATCAATGACAAGACGCAATTTTTTACCCTCTGCAACTGTCAAAGGGTTTACGCAAAAAGGAGGAGAATCATGCTCAACTATACACTCATTGGATAACAATTCCCTGATCGCATCAACAACAAACTGCTTGTGCTTCAAAGACGACGCATTATTACGCAAAAAGCATTTAGGAGGGTAGCCACTAAAAGGCAAACGGTAACCCTCTTCGACTATAGACATAACAAATTGTGACGCATCAAGCGTGTTGCGCCAAAAGCTAGCACAATTTCGTATTCGGCCTTTAACTTTGCAGCTAGAGGAATTAAATTCTCCATAACAAAAACAATCAGAAATAGCTCTAAAATCAAAACACTTAACTCCGCCATCGTCGGCTAGTCATTTCTTTTGCTTCGTTTCTTCACTGGATTTCGTGCAGGAGGCACTAAGATGCCCAAAATCCCCACACTGAAATAACAAATAACACATTATTTTAAAGCTAAAGAAAATTAAACTATGACGATTACAGTAGTCGCTTACGTAGACCCGAAGGACGAACTCACTTTAGTTAGCACTACTCCTTTTATACTGACATAAATCAACTGCACGATTTAACATGACACAACACTATTGTTATACTCACTTAGACAAATGCCTTTAGAAACGTGCAGAAAATAAATAACTGCTTAACTGCGTACCGCAGTTATTTTATTATATCCAAATGGGTCTAATAATCATGAAGCAAGAGATTTCAAGAAGATATTGATACAAATCCTAGATAATTTGGACAAAAAATGTTGGAGTAGATGACGTAATTTTCTCCATCCCTTTGTTCTTCCATCTTTTGAATCAAAATTTATCTGATGTGGGATAATTCCAAAACAAATATTTTCCCGCAATTGTTTTTAATAGATATCAATGAGTCATATATAAGTATTGCTTGAAGTTTTGAAATAAGGCCATTTTCATGCAAGTAGCACTTTAATTGATTGAGGTAACATTTTCCTCTTTCTGTCTCAAGTGCAGTGTAGATCTATTATGTAGGCTTGAGTTTCTTGGGAACATTAGTTAATACCTTCACCATTTTGAATTTACATGGTGTTGCACTTCTGCCTGACATAGCTTCCTAGCATAGTACCTTAGTATTGTGATTTGATATATGTATGTGCATATTTTCATGCATCCTGGTCATTGCTGCTAGAGCAGATGCACGTTATCCATTAAATTGTACTCATTACTGTATAATTACAAATAGCAGCACAAAACACACTAAAGACCACTTTGATGAACTCTTCACTGGAACAGGGCATTTTGCTGGTTATAAATATTATATTGTTGATTATGTATAGATCATAGGTTGTTATAGTCATGTTGATTTTTTTCTGTAATAAATATTTGTTAATTAACAATTCTTGACAATTATTTTCGAGCCATTATTTTGATTTTTACACACGTACTCGAATAGCGTTGAAMTTAGGATCGCGGGTTAGATTCTCGACTCGATCACTTCTAAGCGATTCTTTTGTCTTTCCTTSTTTTTTTACCGAAATGTACTTATTCTTATTTTTTCTGTAGATATTAGTTTTATATATTCAACATGCAAGATCATACTTGAATAGCGGCGTTGAACTGACGATCTCGGGTGGATTCTCGACTTGAGCAGCTTCTAAACAATTTTTTTTCTTTATTTATTTCTTTAACTTTGAAACGTACTCGGTTTTTTTTCTTAAATCATTTTTTGCAAAGCAAACTTTCATCTTGTAAATTCTCTGAAGAGAATGCGAATGCAATCTGAATGCTAAATTTTTGCTGCAGCAATGATAATTAAAATATTCAAAAAAATGATGCGAAAAGATCATGCTCAAAATCTATCAAATCGATCGTGGCGCTGGTAAAAGTATTTATCATATAATAATCTATGGAATACCTATATTTCTCCATTTCGTAAAATACTAGTGAAAATAACACATTCGAGGTTTCAGTATATAGTGGAAGTAAGAAAAAAAGTATGTTATGACATAATTTTTGTTTAATATTTAATTGTATGATATTAAACAAAATCTGTATTTCTGAGCGCCCATGTAATATCCTCTATATATTAGTGTAGCCTGGACACGGTATGTTCCACGAAGTGGTTCTTGTTCATAGTAAAATGCATTTGCAAAAGTTGATATATAAGTCAATTTTGGTGCCGCCACCCCTGAGACATACTGTATTTTGTACTATTAATTTTCATGGATTAAGGTCATTAAATATCTTATTTCTTGGTATTTTTGTTTCAATTCCTATCAATTTTCTTTATGTTTCAGTTCTCCATCGAAATGTTAAGATTGATTGTAAGATCTTGTAATAACTTAGAAACAATCAAGCTTGCTGGAATAAAAGATGTTGATGATGAATTGCTGATGTCAATTKCTACAAACTGTACCAAACTAAAGGTTATTAACCTCAAAGGGTGTGATCAGGTATGCTATAACTTTCAAGCAAGACATGCTTTAACACTACAAATAATGTTTCATGTATTAGTCATAAGATATATGAATTTGTTCTTTATCCAGGTTACAGACATTGGTATATGTGAGATTGCACGTTTCTGTCCATTAAGTGAAGTAGTTATAGCAGGAATCCATAGATTGACAGACAAGTCTGTCTTTGCTCTTGCCAATTCTTGTACAACAACCCTAGAAGACATTTATGCTTCTGCATGCACTAAAATCACCACTCAGGCCATTAGATATCTCAAGGTACTATAACTTATTTCGTTTGCAAATCTGCTTTACATCACTTTAGCACTTGCAATCACAGGGCACTATACCCTCCTTTGGAGGCAACTCCACTGCATGGGGGAGGGGGACGGAAGGAAGGAAACGCAGTTGTTTCTAATATCGACTATGTCGATACCAGTTCCTCTGTTATAATTATCAACAAGACGCAAAAGACAAAAAAGTCGATTCTCGTACCCAGATCCTTCTAAGTATCCGAACTGAAAATCGAAGGCTCTGGTTGAAATTTTGGAACCAATTAAATCAAACAATCATTCGTTTCCAAACAGAGTTTTATTTTCCGTTGGGAAACTGAGAAGGATCTGGGTACGAGAATGCGAACGAGGCTAAGGATACGATACTTGAGGACATTCACCTTGGAAAATACGATTCGCCCGAACTAAACATGTATTTAAGGTTACCTACCGTGGCCCTTCGTGTTTTTTTAATTAACAGATTGCTTTACATGAAAGGGAATCTTTCTRMTTCCAAAAAAATATTTTCRAAAAGTTKTTTCGTTCGCGAGATATTTAGGGAAACGCATTTTATCGAAAAATAAATCCCTAGATTGTGTGACGGTGTGGCGACCACGTCAGGAACCAAGACCAAGAAATCTAGTGAGACATTCAAAGAAACAAGAGAGTTTACAACTAACAAGCATCCAATATGGAGAATGTTTAAGACGTGATTGTGAAATATATCGACGTAGTACCTAGCGTTTCTCGGCGAAGATTTCAACCAAGTGAAAGCTAAAGGAGATGTTAAGCTGATGGAAAGACAAGCTGAGACACCAGATCCATGAATCAAAACAAAAACTCCAAGAGGTGATGCACCTATCAATGTCTTACCCCAACAGGGGGAGCCCGGGCGCACAGGGGCTATTGACATACGAACCTAGCCCCTGACAGGGGCTGTTAGACTTTTATTGACACAGCAGTTTTCCAGGGTAGGGCTTTGTGTTTCTTTGAATGTTGTCTTTCATCCCAATTATTTTGCTTAGAAATATACAGCCCTCTCCTTGGCTGGGTTTAGCATTAATCCAGGGTTATCTCTATAAGGGTTTGTAAGAGTTGAACAAGGATTAGTGCTTATCGAGCATTCAACAACCCRGCTCARGGTTACTTTACATTAAATCKTGTATCATGTGAGGGGCCTATTATCATTTTGATGTAGAATTTAAGAGGGGCGCTTTCCAAAAATGTCAATAGCCCCTGGGTATGCCCTGGCTGTCCCCGTTGGAGCAAGAAGTTGCTAGGCGCATGAAGATCGAAGCGAATGAAAACCCAGCTACGGTGCGAGACTGGACAGAACAACTGGAATCAGAGCTCAAGGTCTTCGAGAAACAAGTCAAAGAGTTGAGAGAAGAGGTAAACAACATCCAATCTAAAGCTAGAGAAGCTGTAGAAGAAGCAAAACGGAAACGTGATTTTGAGCACGAATTAAAGCTGGAGGAGATGAGGTTCAAACATCAAATTAAAGTCCACAACAGCCTCAACGAGAGCAAAGCTCCCTAAACTCGTCATAACKCCATTCCAARGAACACACATCGACTGGATGAGGTTTTGGAGCCAGTTTGAAACGGAAATCGACAAAGCTGAAGTCAGTACTATTACTAAATTTTCCTATTTAAAAGAGCTACTCGTACCCAACGTGAACGTCTACGTAGACGGGCTTCCTTTCACATCGGAAGGATACGAACGCGCGAAGAATGTCTTGAAGACCAAATATGGTAAGCCAAGTGAAGTTGCCAATGCTCATATGCAGAATATCATGTCATTACCTATTATCAATGGTACATCTGCCACTAAAATACAAGATTTTTATGAAAAGCTGATTTCTAGCGTACACGCGTTAGACACTATGGGTAAATTTCAGGAACAAGCCAAGGGTTAATAGCTGCAAGCTCTAGGCTGTCAAAAAGAAGAATTTAACCATCCCGCGATTAGAGCTTGTGTCCGCGCACATGGCAGCTAACCTGGTGGATAACGTGATCAAAGCCTTGGAAGAGTACCCAGTCACCCAAGTCCAGGGATGGCTAGACAGTACTGTGGCACTCTATTGGATCATGAGAGGAGGACGATTCAAGCAGTTCGTAACCAACAGAGTCCGCAAGATAAACGAGAAGGAATTCATCGAGTGGAGACGCGTAGGAACAGATCAAAATCCAGCAGACATCGGAAGTC